ATGTTTTATTGTAAAGATAAATCAAATACCGACAGACTGATGTGTGTTTATTCGTGAGAAATGCAAGGGACTGTTAGAAAATATCGGTTGAACCGAACACATAGCAAATTTTCGTCAGCTACCTTGTAATTTTTCGTACAAGTGTGGATAGTAAACCCCCCATTGACAGGAACAAGTGCCTGTGGGAAAAACCTACGAGATTCTACTCCCGTTCGTATAATAGTCCCAGAGCAAGCTAAAGGAGCTTGATGTAAAATTGGTTTAAAATGATGCTATGCAAATAAATCACTGAATAACCAACTTATTATCCGTATAATTATGAAACTAGATCAGAGGAAGGCAGGGGCAAAAATCCAAAGGAATCGATTGCTATGCAGCAAAGATTAACACTTTTAAAATCAAGTTACCAATCAAATTCAAACGGACATTATCTCGATGTAAACATTGAATGTGAATAGATCGAGAAGACCGCAAATACATGTACAAAAATCAAGACGACCTTTTCTTAAGGTATATGTGGACCCTTCGGCTAAAATGGCGGCGTTTTCACCTCAAAATTTACTTTGAGAACAGACAGGTTTGTCTGTGCTCAAGAGTAAATTTTGAGGTGAAAACGCAGCCTTTTTTAGCCCAAGAGTCCACATGAACCTTCAAATTGTATAACAAAAAGTAAAAAGATACCTACTTTATAAAAATATTTATCTTTAAGTTTCAACCTGCACAGACAGACTTTTAAATTGTTATGTTCACGAAAAGACATTATTTCTATATTGAATGTGCATGTGACCGGTGTACTCGAAAACTCAGATGTGAAAAAAATAAGTATATTTTGAGAATTTGTAACATGCTAAGAACTTTGTGGAAAACTCCGAAAATTGGACCCGAAAGATCTTTAGATTTTGTATGTACGTAATTTTTTCCTATTTTTTTTATTGATATGCAGCAAAGACTAACATTTTGTATAAATTTCAGCTTCACAAGCTTCTTGTGCAATTATCTCGATAAATACTGAAAATCGTGTATTTGCATGTATATTTCTAATGAACACATCTTAACAAATAATTTCTTTAAAATGTAAAATTGATATTTAGAAATAACTTTTGATCAGTATCGTCACCGGCATTGTTTTATCATTGATTTTCTCGACTCTATTATAAAACAAAACTTTACGACAAAAGTGATGATTTCAGCTTCCCAATTGTGAACTTTCCATTTTTATGTAGCAACATTCCAGCAGCGCCTGCATACCGAGTATATTTCTCCCAATTGATACGATATTTCCGGGCTTGTATTTCCTATCATGATTTCCTTGATAGAGGATTGCTGCTCACAAGGAAGCTATTAAACCAAGAGTTCCAAGTGGTGAAGTTGAAATCATCCCTTCGTAAATTTTACGGACGCCATCACGAGTTCGTTGACCGTTATGGAATAACCGTTTCACAGATGATATCGGATATGTTCCTTATGTCGTAACTACAATACCCATCCCTTTTCACGAATGTGACCTACCGAATTAGACTATTTACCGGATTTGTAATAACATAAGCAACACGACGGGTGCCACATGTGGAGCAGAATCTGCTTACCCTTCCGGGGCACCTGAGATCACCCCCAGTTTTTGGTGGGGTTCGTGTTGCTTAGTCTTTAGTTTCTATGTTGTGTCTTCTGTACTATTATTTGTCTGTTTTTTTTATTTTTAGCCATGGCGTTGTCAGTTTATTTTCAATCTATGAGTTTGACTGTCCCTCTGGTATCTTTCGTCCCTCTTTTATAAGAAGAGTGATTGTTCACTAGATTTCCCATTGATAATGTTAGAGTAGATCTGATTCTTTACGTCCTCCCCGAGCTGGGCTGGAACCTGTACTGTAATAGTTATCCCATGAGGACGCGGTGTGTCAGTGTACTAAGATAACCCCGATGGCCGGAGGCCAGAGGGTGATCTTACACTGACACACCAAGTCCGAGTGGGATAACTATTTTACATCCCAGCTCTTCTAGACTATATGAAAAAAACATTTACGCTTCATAACATCTAGTTCAGAATGCCCTAAAATAATTATAATATACTTTATATATTACTATATAGTATATACCCTTAATGAGACCCGGATACAATGTTTAAATATGTTAAATTAACAGTGAGTTTGTATCCAGTTGTCCTGGTGCAGGGGTATGAATCGTGGCTTGACATGCTTAAGGTCTTGAGTTCGATTCCCCGCATAGACTGGAAATTTAGTGGATTTTTTCTATATAAATTTTGAAAGTTGGTCTTTATTCCGAATACATATATCTACAGAACAAAAAAAAGTCAAGGAATTGTGATCCGACTCAGATCACCCCTGTTAGAACAAAGGAGTTGGGATGTAATTTCACTTGTCACTTCCAAGACAACACCGCCTAGCATTGCACAGACGCCTTATCCCCTCCTCTAACTAAAGCGGATAAAAATCAGCTTTCGTTTCGGGAGGTGTTACCTTCTCGTAGGAATTTAAACAAGGACGTCTTATCACAATACACGAAGTTTTTTTTAAATGTACAGAAATGATCATCTACTAATCTCTTCAGTATAATTACAGGATGCTAGCGGAAAAGATGGTATACCGCAAACAAAAGGTGGAAAATTTGTACACCATATCCGGATTTCGACAATTAATGTCTCTTCAGTGATGTTAGGAATCGAAACGGTATTTGGAAAGCCATATAATTTACCTCAATTTATGATAGACTCTTGGATTTGGAAGAGTCGAAATAGGATGAACGGATCATATAAACCAGAAGGCAAATATAATACAAGCCCAATCGAAAAAATATAAACAAGTCTAAATTGAAAACAACGTTCAAACCTATGATTGCGTTGGATAATAAACAGCTGCGCCATGAGCGCATGATACGCCCGTCGTCTTGTGTGTGAATTTTTATGCAATAAGCATAAATAGTTTCTGACATACGGCGTGACATGCGAAAACCCCCTTTTTTTTAACAAAAAACTCAATATCTCTAAAATAAAATTTTGAATCAAAACCAAAAAGTATACAGATCTTTAGATTAATATAACTAAGAAGTGTGTAATATTTTAAGCAATAATCTTAAATCGTTTTTGAGATACGGCGAGACATGTGAAAACCCCCCTTTTAAAAACAAAAAAAATCAATATCTCAAAAATAAAATTTTGAATCAAAACCAAAAAGTATACAGATCTTTAGATTAATATAACTAAGAAGTGTGTAAAATTTTAAGCAATAATCATAAATTTTTTTAGAGATACGGCGCGACATGTGAAAAACCCCTCCCCATTTTTTTACAAAATACTCAATAACTCAAAAATAAAATTTTGAATCATCACCAAAGAGTATACAGATCTTAAGGTTAATATAACTAAGAAGTGTGTAAAGTTTTAAGCAATAATCATAAACTGTTTTTGAGATACGGCGAGACATGTGAAAAACCCCTCCCCCTTTTTTAACAAAATACTCAATATATAAAATAAAATTTTGAATCATCACCAAAAAGTATACAGATCCTAAGATTAATATAACTAAGAAGTGTGTAAAGTTTTAAGCAATAATCATAAATTGTTTTTGAGATACGGCGCAACATGTGAAAAAAAACACACCTGTTTTAGTTACTAAGTCCCGAAACTCAAAAAGTTTTAATCTTATTTTCACCAAAAAGTATACAGATCATTTGACCATCATAAGAAACAACTATGTTAAGTTTCATGAAATTTAGATAAGTCATTCTCAAGTTACGGTGCGACATGTTTACGCCAGACAGACAGACGGACAGACGGACAGACAGACGGACGGACGCCGGACATTTGTATAACATAATACGTCCCGTCAAAAATTTGACGGGCGTATAAAAACCGCAATTTTTATACGTGTGCATGCAAAACAAATTTCTTGGTAGAGGGGTCTAAATACAGCACAAACAACATTTTCCAAAAGACCAAAAAAGTGAAAAAGTATATTTTAACAAAACGCATTTGACTAGCAGGTCGAACAACGGATGTTCTTAAACCCTGCTGACTGCCATTGGCGATTGCCAAATAAACGGATCACAAGATGTAACAAAATGGATCTTAATTATTAATTTAATACCAAACAGAAATATATATATTACTTTGGTGTTGAAAGCAGATATTTGATAGTCTTCATTAATTGTATCCACGTTTTACGTTGGTTAGAGGCGATTAAAATCTGATCTTTTGTAGAAACCAATCGTTTTATTCACCTCTAAACGCCTTTTACATTATAAACACAAACACGCCTGATTGCTCGGATTTATTATTGTCATTACATGCGGGATTTTTGCAGGTCCATGTTCCAAGTGATGCGTAGGCCAGTCTATCGTATTGTTCTTCGATGAGGGTCGTTTGGATTAAGTTTTCTAAGAGGCACTGCGTATAGGCTTTTTCACTCGCCAGACTGTGTGTTAAAAATGCTTTAGAAATTTCCACACATTACTTATGTTCGAATAGTAGTTTTGTATGGATTTACCATCTTAGTCCAAAATGGACATTTCACCCACGGCCGAATCCCAAGAGAACACAAATGTCCATTTAACAAATAAAGAATACGGTAAATACAAAAAGATATAAAATAAACACTCATTTTAACAAAGAACTCAACAGAAATTCCCTAACATTGTTGATAAAATGCATCTAACAAGCTGTTATTTATGGTTTGTTCTGCTTTCTCACTTTCTTGTGTATGTGTATTAGTGTCAAGATTATCGAATGCACAAGTCTGTAGCTTGGTAAATAAGCGACGTTCAGTTTGCGTGAAGTTCAGAATAATGAATAATACTCTTCAGAACTGGTACTGATGAAGGGTATTCGTTTTCCAAAACATTTTTTTACTCTATTTTTATTTTTTTTATTTTTTTTTTAACTTCGTTTAACGTCGATTTTTTTGTGATGTACGCTTTCACATTTTTTTTTTGCATGTGTGTGTGTATATGTGTGATGGTATTGACAATTGATGAAGTAGACGTATTACCTTCAGGAATATTCGTTTGCAAATCAAATAAAAAATCAAGCTAATAAGAAAAATGCACAATATGCGTACTATTCTTGTTCTTTTCATGGTAGATGTTGACGTTTAGTTTCAAAAATTATTCGCTTCCTTCAAATCAATCAAGCAAAACAATACAGTATTTGAATAAAAAAAATCAATCTATATACATTGAGTATCTAAATTTAAAAATTCAATTGAATATTTAAATTTAAAAATTCACTTTATACATTTAGTATTGAAATTTTAAATTTTACACATTTTCATAGCTTACCGTTCGGACCTCGGTAGCTTGTTTGAAATTGCGTCATAATATTTACAGTAGCACTTATTAAAGGTTTCGTAAACACCCACAAACAAACTGTACAAACCGCACCTAAAATAATACTTGAATATTTAAAACACGTTAATGTTTACATTTTTTTTTATATCAGCGTTCATTTAAAGAAAATTAGGATTTTCGGCACAGCTATACTCAAAGTTAATTTTCAATGAAAAATAAATGCCGTTTAATGTATTCGAATGAAAGTTTGTAGTATTTATGTATGGAACGCCATGACTGTCTTCTGATGTTGATTGTTTAATATGTTTGGTGCTTTATGCATTATGTTCAGTAGTATTTATATTATGTTCAGCAGTTTTCATATTATGTTCAGTAGTTTTTACATTATATTCGGTGCTTTGGTTATTATGTTCAGTAGTTTCATTATTATATGCAGTGGTATTTAAATTATGTTCGGTACTTCTGACGTTATACTCAGTGCATTTTTCATTATGTTCAGTACTTTCGACATTATGTTCTCTAGATTCAATATTATTTGCAGTACATTATGTATTACCTTCAGTGGTCCCGGTTTCTTTATATTCGGTGGATTATTCATTATGTTCAGTAATAGCATCAGTATTATACTCGGTTCAATGAACTATATGTTCAGTGGTTGTATCATTATGATGATGTAGTAAAAGTCGGGAAATCAATAACATGAAGTCTTTAAAATGCTACCATTACTCTTCTCTAATAAATGGAAGCTTTAAGGTTACTTCAAATTTCACAAGAGGTACATAAGAAAACATTTAAAATATAAATTATTATTTTTAGTAGAAACTTGAAATTTTCTTGCAATGCTAGGCGGTGTTCTCGTAGAAGTGAGAAGTGCAGGTTAATTCCAGTCCGACTCGGTGAGGAAGTAAAGAATCAGATCTTCTCTAACATCGTAATGTTCATTTTCTAGGCACTTTATATATATAAATCTTTATACATTGTTTTCCTATAAAAAAAAAGAAATGCAAACAAATAATCAGCATTGAAAGTCGAAGGGTGATTGAATGTAACAATAACGTTAGAAATATGAAAACTTTTTTATTTTAAACAAATCTTGTTCAAATGTTTTATTGTTAAAAAGTGAACGTACCGGTATATATGTAACAGTAAATTTGGTCCGGTAGTAAAATTTGTCCGCCGGACTTTTTTTCCTAGTTAATCAAGTCCATGGCCATGATTTTACTAGGAATGTAAGTCCCAGGACAAATTTTCCTAGGAAAATAAGTCCATAGCTAGTAAAATATGTCTGGCACTTTTTTTCCTAGGAAAAATTGTCCCAAGCTTTGTCTGGGGACATAAATTTTATTAGAATATCAATACACAACTCTTTAACAATATTAAAACATAACATTTAAATTTCCATTGTTTAAATGTAAATGATTTAATTCATTAAAATTAACCTTTTAAATAAAGGACATGGACGTTTTTACCTAGTCATATTAATGACATGGACTTGAATTCCTAGGAAAATTAGTCTGGGGACATAAATTACTAACATCGGACTAAAAATACTAGTAAATTCGGTAACCATGGACTTTTTATACTAGTAATATGTGTCCGCCCGGACATATTTTACCAGGACAAATTTATCACTAACATACATATAAGTTTCATTCTAATCTAGCCTGTTGTCATTTTCATGATTTTGTTCTAAATGATATAGCTCTTACATATGTCTTTGGATAAAAATAATTGAAATGTAATTAATTACATTGGCAATGTAATTGTAATGTAATTAATTACATTTGAATATCAATGTAATTGTGATGTAATTAATTACATTTAAAAAACAATGTAATTGAACTGTAATTATTTACTTTGGCATGTAATTGACCCCAGGTCTGCTTCATTGTGGCAATGATTTGGTCATTCTTCCTCGTGGCAATGGTTTAACCATACTTCATCATGGCAATGATTTGATCATACTTCATCATGGCAATGATCTGATCATACTTCATCATGGCAATGATTTGATCATACTTCATCATGGCAATGATTTGATCATACTTCATCATGGCAATGATCTGATCATACTTCATCATGGCAATGATTTGATCATACTTCATCATGGCAATGATTTGATCATACTTCATCATGGCAATGATCTGATCATACTTCATCATGGCAATGATTTTATCATACATCACCATGGCAATGATTTGATCATACTTCATCATGGCATTGCCGAGACAGCGTACACTTAAAACAGCTTTTTAAAGCATAAATTACATGTACATTTATTTTAACTCAAACAAATATGGGTACTTTATTTAGGGTGTTTTCTACGAGCTCCGTGTCGGGCCCATATGTGCTGAATATATAAACATAATAGAAAAAGAACGGATATGATAAAACGTAACAAGGTCAAATACACCAGCATTTAACATAAATACAAAATAGTAAATTTTTAGAAATCACCCAAAAGGTCTTCGATAAATGAATGATAAAGCAACCTTGGAGAATTGTAAGAAACTATACAATAGTTCGAATAGGTCTCATTTCTAATGGAATCGCAATTTACGCATTTTCACAAAAAATCGTTAGTGTAAAGCAGTCGTAAGTTACGACGTCACAATACTTAGATCTTTTATGACGTCATAACTTTCGACTATTTTTACCATTACGATTTTTTATTAATAAGACAGCAGGCCCCTAAGGCAAGGAAAAATGTATGTTTAGGGTTACACTGGAAGTATAAATGGGATAGGTAGCTATGCATTTATCCGGTCGTTCACTGTCGATTTATTCAACTTCCCTACAACCGCTTTATTCTTAGACGTATGATTAACCATTTGAAGTTTTGTTAGAAATGAAAACCCTACGAGATTTATATAAATAGTCATCAAACCAAGAAAGGATATACTAGTAGGAAGAGGAGTGTTGAGTACCAATTGGAAGAGCTGTCTCCAGATATTTCAAGCAGGCCCGAGCGGATCCAAATATTTTCGAAAAACGGGGATGTGGTTCCGATCAAGAAACTTATATAAAGAAAGAGTGTGCCATGCTATTATTATCCGCTCATTGTTTTGGCCAAATCTTAGAACAAAAGGGTAGCCCAACCCCCAAACAATCCTGATGTATCACCCGCTATATCGTGCGTTTATAAAAATGGAACCTTTCCTTGCAAAAGACCGACATGCTAGAAGGAAACGTTTTATTATTTAATAGTTTACGGTCATAGAAGACATTTTTATCTCATATCCCTCTGAGCGAAAAAAAAACCCGCCGTTTCAAACAAACTAAAAATCGGCAGCTAAGTTGAAAACAAATTGTGAACTGAAATTAATCTTAACATATTTTAGTACGGTTGATGACAAATAAAAATAAAACTTTGCTTAGACGATGGCACATATATACATGTAGTAATTTTGAAAGTGCAATTTTTTTTAGGAATGGTGACAGTCTATAGACTGGTGATATTGCCTTTTGTAATATCATTCAGTTTGGCTATTTGGCCACGTGTTATGATAATAGAGCTGGAGGTGCTTCAGGGTTTTAAAAGTGTATGGCTAATGTTTCCTGCACCAGACCTAATTGTTGAAATTATTTTCTAAGATTGTAGCGTTTATGTTAATGTACGCGTCTCTGGTGTCTGGAACTTGGTGCCCAGAAACCGTAAACGCTTTTGACATGTCACATAGGTGTCTATGCGACAATTTGTAGCTTATCAACTGAGAAATGGTTGTAGCTAGTTGAAAGGTACATTTACACAAATGTATCTAAGGGCAGAATTTATTTGTCCATGAAGAACACGTCCGTCAAAAATAACCGCGTTCGTTTTTTTTCGACTATTTCCGTTATTGATTTCCCGACTTTTACTGCATCATCATAATGATACAACCACTGAACATATAGTTCATTGAACCGAGTATAATACTGATGCTATTTCTGAACATAATGAATAATCCACCGAATATAAAGAAACCGGGACCACTGAAGGTAATACATAATGTACTGCAAATAATATTGAATCTACTGAACATAATGTCGAAAGTACTGAACATACTGAAAAATGCACTGAATATAACGTCAGAAGTACCGAACATATTTTAAATACCACTGCATATAATAATGAAACTACTGAACATAATAACCAAAGCACTGAATATAATGTAAAAACTACTGAACATAATGTCAAAACTACTGAACATAATATGAAAACTACTGAACATAAGATAAATACTACTGAACATAATGCATAAAGCACCCAACATATTAAACAAACAACATCAGAGGACAGTCATGGCGTTCCATATTTATGAGTCTTTATTATATACTTAGTAGTAAATACAGACAAATTGTTTGTGTAATACAATCATTGGCAAGCGTGCTGTATCAGCCACCCGTGATGATATCGATATCAGCACGGTTACAAAGGCTTTATCACACCTTTAATCTGTATGACGTCACGTCATCGATTGCATTTACTGTTGCTTTATCAATATACAATATATGTACATTGTCTGAAAATATAAAATTTATTTGTATGAGCTTTAGAAACAGGACGAAAAGCGAGGCTCGCCGAGCTTTTCTCCTGTTTCGAAGCGAGTACAAATAAATTTTATATTTTCCGACAATGTACATATATTGTTTTTATCCTGAATTTTACATCCAACACTTGAAACTTTAGTTGTTAAAATCTAAATCACTGTCCCTAACTTTTCAAAGAAATCGACATAGTTTAAACGCGGACCGCGAAGAGGACCCCAAAATGAACTGGTACGCAAAAAGAAATATCCATATTACCGCTTGCTCAACATGGAAGCGGGATAACAGGAGACTTTATTTGTACAAGGATAAATAAAGCAAAAATTTATTTGTGTACCTGTTATT